TCCTAAGATCTTAGCCTCTTGAATAGGTAGCATTACAGGCGTGAGCCACTGGCACATTAACATTTTTTTTTAATTTTTTTTTGGGGGGTCCGGTCGTGGAGCCTGAACTCTGGGCCTGGGCGCTGTCCCTCAGCTCTTCAGCTCAAGGCTAGCACTCTACCACTTGAGCCACAGCACCACTTCCGGCTTTTTTCTTTTTGCTTATGTGGTGCTGAGGAATCGAACCCAGGGCCTCAGGCATGCAAGGCAAGCACTCTACCACTGAGCCACCTTCTCAGCCCCACATTAACATTTTTTTGTAGACAAATTACTCATAGATTTCTTATTTTCTTCCTCTTCCACTTTCTCCTCCTTTACTATTTTATCTTGCCTTAAAAACAAAAAAAAAACCATAATCTTTGAGGCTTTGGGATGTTTCTGACCTCATTCCTGAGCTCTAGATCCTTATCTCTACTGAAGATTAGATGTCTTCACCAAAGTCCACTACAAATACCTTACACTCTGCAAAGTTTAATATAAATCAGTCCTTCCCTTTCAAATTTCTATCTTCAGTGACCTCAAATTTCTAAATGACGACGTCTGAAACTAGTGTCTCTTTCTTGATACCTCCCATTCAGTTGTGGTCTCTCTCTCTCTGATAGTGACTAAATTCTGCTCACTGTAATACTTTGTTCACTCTATTTCTCCTACTCTGATTGAATTTTAGTGCCCACTACACCTTTACTCAGCTCAGTGTGTGCCAGCCACTTGGGCACTGCAGTAGACTCCCAAAGAACCTAACTACTTCCCGTTCCCTCCTCCCCAATTCTTTCAAACAGCACCTGGTGATTTTTTAGAAATGCAAACTTGACCATGCTTAAAATTTATTCCTTCAGGTTCGTGTTTAAATTTCTAGAGTCCAATCTTGCATTGTAATTGTTCTCCATCTTTACCTTCCCTCTTCCACTTCCACTGATACTGAAACCAAACTAAACCTCTCAAATGTTCTCTTATACTCTCCTGTATCTTGCTACTGGAACTGAATTTAAGAGCTCTTGATCTAACTCAGCTTTTTCCACTATTGCTGGTGGTCTATTCCTTGAGTCATGCCTCCACCTCCAGCTTTTGCTGGTTATTTGCAGGTAAGAGCCTTGGAGATTTCTGTATACAGGTTGGTTCCAAGATGCAATTCTCAGGTCTCAGCCTCCCGAGCAGGTAGGATTATAAGCATGAATCATGGTGCCCCACTTTGTCCTGTGTCTTTATCATGCTATTCTTAATGCTATACTCGCTTCGAACTCCCATCTCTCACCTGGTTAACTACTTTCTCAGTGTGAAACTACAGTTAAAAGCCTTCTTTAATAATTCTCACTTGTTCTCACCAGCAGTTCCCCCCACCAAGTATCTCCTCTTGTGTTTTCTGTTTCTCTCTCAATAAACCTCTTATTACAATATTATTTTATCTTGCTGAGATTTTATGATCTTCATATTACTTGACTAGGCCATACTAGATTCATCTATTATCAGTACCAGTTGGTTAATTTGACCCCAGGAAATTGCTCACCCACCAACCCTTAAACTGAGTAAAGCAGTTGGATTGAATCCTTTCTGACCTCACTGATTTCCCTGAAGTGTGTCTCCTAGTAACCACTTCAATGACATGGTGCTACAACAGAGAGATTAGTAATTTGGATTAGTAATTTGGATTGTGACAAGGAAGACAAGTTGAGTGAGCCTTAAAATATTTACCCTCCAGAGTTGCATTCTGGGACCCTCACTTAACCTTGACATACCAGGACTATCCGTCAGCACCCTCTGAGATTAACAATCAAAGTGTTAAGCAACCTTTTGTAATATGCACCTGTCTGAAACCCTATTCTGATGACTTAGGAGTCTTTTTCCATTATATCTTATTATCAATGTAAAATAAGCTATAGTTTTTGGTCTTAGGTTTGAGTAAAGATGGCCTGGTCCTATTTATTGCTCTTGGTCTTGCAATATGCAGGGCAAACTTATGTTTTGCAAAACAATATTAAAGAGGATACCAAAGAGCTTATCAAATATGTCTGTCATTTCAAATAATGTACTTAATAAATTTCTGTGGGAATTTAAAAATCCAGCTGTTAGGACAGGTCCCCAAAGCAAGCAGCTGCCCTAAGCAAGTGTAAGGTCTCTTAGCCCAACCAGAAACTGCAGACAAGTTCTTGCAGCGCCTCACAATTCAGAGAAGGTACGAGGCTGTTGGCTGCTGACATGCCAGGAGAGTGTGAGGATGAGCAAGCCCCAGAGGAAAAAAAAATGGATGTGAGGGTGGCACACAGTAAAGTAAATCCCAACACTCCAATGATGAATAGTCACGGCATCTGGCTGGCCTACATCATCTTGGTAGAACTGCTGCATGTGGTTCTATTCAGCATCCCTTTCTTCAGCATTCCTGTTGTCTGGACCCTGAACAACATCATTCATAACTTGGTAATGTATGTCTTCCTACATACAGTAAAAGAGATACCCTTTGAGACAGACCCCCTGACCAAGGAAAAGCTCGATTTTTGACACACTGGGAACAGATGGACCATGGGCTCCAGTTTACTTCTCACAAGTTCCTCAGCATCTCTCCTATTGCACTCTACCTACTGGCCAGCTGTGCAGTCATTTCCTATCAACACTACTTTGCTCAGTGTACTGCTGCCTAAGTTACCACAATTCCATGGCATCAACAAATACTGAAGGCTGGGCTGAAGCAACTTCATAGGCATATGGAACAAAGACTAATGTGTTTTGTGTGTTTTTCATTTCTCCATTCTGGGAACTTAGAACCTTTCCCAAACTCCCAGAAAGCAAATGCATGAGAAATTGGTGCTCTTGTTAAAAACAAGTTTAGTTGAGTCAGGAAAGGCAGATGAGATTAAGGGCCAAATTACCCTGTGTAACAGGAAGCCATCCATGTTTGGGTAGCTTGTTTGGAGATTACATTTTTCCTTATCCCTACCACCTTCTTGTTCTGTCTTGCTGTGTATTTTCCTCATAATAAAATTTTTTCAGCTGCAAAAAAAAAAAAATCGGGGGGCTGGGAAGGTGGCTCAGTGGTAGAGTGCTTGCGTTGCATAAAAGGCCCTGGGTTCGATTCCTCAGCACCACATAAGCAGAAAAAGCCAGAAGTGGTGCTGTGGCTCAAGTGGTAGAGCACTAGTCTTGAGCTGAAGAGCTGAGGGACAGCGCCCAGGCCCAGAGTTCAAGCCCCACAACTGACAAACAAAAAAACCAAAAACCAAAACTCCCTCTGTAGAATAAGGTCCTTTGTCCAACAGTTCCTGTAAGAAGCAAACTAACTTCAATGATCACTGTTAGTGAACATTGTTATCATTATCATGGAGAACTTTGCTCAAGACAGCACAAGAAAGCTTGCCATACATTATAATCTAGAAGGTCTATTTCAAATACATGACAATCAATCATATACACGCACATGTACATAAAACATTAATGATTTAGAAATCTAGAGTGGGGCATGTTTGTTCACGTAGGCCTTAGTGTATAGGAGACGTATCTCAGCTCACATCTCATACAGCCAGTTCCTACTTCCTTAGCCTGAAATCAAAGCAATAGCTATCTGATCACTGTATCTTTCTCATTCTTAAAGGAGTAATCTAATCAGTGTTTGGACTGAAAAGTGAATAGTCAAGGATTGTTTTAAATGGTAGCTAATTAAATCTACAAAATGAGAAAGGAGATAACAAAAAAGGGACAAATTAAGGACTTGAGGGTACATACATAACTCTACAAAGCTGACGGTGTTAAGCAAATCAATTCCTTTGAGGCCCAGTCCATAGAGAATTAGTCTTCTGACAAATTAAAAAGCTCCTCTTTTAGGCTGGGAAGGTGGCTCAGTGGTAGAGTGCTTGCCTAGCATGCATGAGGCCCTGGGTTTGATTTCTCAGCAATAAGCAGAAAAAGCCAGAAGTGGTGCTGTGGCTCAAGTGGTAGAACTCTAGTCTTGAGCTGAAGAGCTGAGGGACAGCGCCTAGCTCGAGTTCAGGCCCCATGACCAGCAGAAAAAAAAAAAAAAAAACAGAAAAAACAACAAACAAGCACTTAAAGATAATAAAGGAGCTGGAGCTCTGTGAAACTACCTTTTTCATGTTTTTTTTTTTTTTTTACTTGTACTAGTCTTGAGGCTTGAACTCAGGGCCTAGGCACTATATTTGAGCTTTTGTGCAGGCAGCTAGTGAGCACTCTATTACAGCTCTGCTTCTGTTTTTGTTGGTTTTTGGTAGTTAACTGGAGATAAGAGTCTCCCAGACTTTTCTGCCTGGGCTGACTTTGAACCATGATCCTCAGATCTCAGCCTCCTGAGCAGCTAGGATTACAGGCATGAGCCACCTATGCCTAGCACTTGGTGAATTTTTAAAAGGAATAGTTTTGTTTGTGTGCTGTTACTGAGACTTGAACGCAGGACTTGGCTAGCCGATTAGCTAATTGGAGATAAGAGCCTCACAGAATGGATTTTCCTACTCAGATTTCAGCCTAAGTAGTTAGGATTACAGACGTGAGACACCAGCACCCTGCTATTAAAAACAATTTTGAGTGGAAAAAAATGTTTAATTCTAAAACAGGTAAAATTCAAGTTGATTGTGAAATTACCTCTGAACGGGATAAAAGTACAGAGAACAGACTGTGCTTTTGCTAAAAGAATGGTAGTTACTCTTTGGAGTTGGGGCTGTAATGAGAAAGGGAATGGCAACATGAAGGTTCTAGGTAACATCAGTATTTCATTACTGGATTTGGATGGTGAATACATGTGATGTTTATAATTATTCTTTAAATAGCACGTGTATTTTGGGACCATTTCTCTTAATTTATATTTAAGGTAAAAGTGTTAAAATACACACTAAGGTCTATATTAGGGCATCTTATCTGCAACTTAATCTCAAATGATTCAGGAAGAACCACTGTTATTTCATGTAAAAAAAATCAGAAAAGGAGGGAAAGAAGGTAGTAAAGAAAGACATACTGCAAATAGAGTGTTTTCATGTCCTTTTATTGAAGGAATTAGAAACTCGTGCTACTGAGGCAGCAGTACCTCAGAGCAAGACAAGGTAGTCAGTGACAAGCCACAATGCTGGCTAGGCATCCTACCATAGTGGAAGGACCAAAACCACAAAGATAGGAGGAGGTAGCAAACATCCCCAACACCTAGAATAAGCATTTCCATTTTTAGAGAGATTGGCCATGCATCTTAAAAAACAGGGTCCCCTTGTAACTGACAGTATTTCATCTAAGGTCATCAGATTCATCCTGAACTACCATATAGTCTCAGTTTTACAGACTCTTTTGACCCAAGTATTTAGGCCACCGGAAAAGTTGAGTTACATCTTTCAGTTCTTTATCCCAGATGGAAAAAGAGGCTGAGTTCTTAAAATGTCACACAAGTACAGCTGGACAGGTGCCGATGCCCAGCTTGCTCTAAAAGTAGCTGCATTTTTTTCCCTCCTGACTTTTCACACTGCTCTCAGTCAGCATGTGCCCTAGGAAACAGCTCAGTGTTATAAACAAGGACAGAATGGGGGCAGCAGCCTAGGGGAGGCAAGGAATCAAAAGCTGCTACATAGCCAAGACCATTTCACAAAAAACAAAACAAAACAACAATAACAACAAAAAACCAGCATGGGGAGCACTACTGGGTCAAGGTCCTCTCAAACAGCTGCTAGAAGCACACACAAAGAAAACTGTGTTAGATCTCCCATGTCAGGATCAGCTGCGCCAAAGTCATGGTCCAGGAAATTAAGCGACTTCATGTCCCTGGCAGGTTATCAAACCCTATGGCATTCCCAAGCTGTTCTGGTTTTCAAGTACAATGAGGTGTTTTGGGCTATTTGGTCACAAAAAAAAACAAGCACTAAAGAAATCTCAACAGATTGTAAATTGACAGTGTTATCCAACTATAAATTTATATAGTTAAGAACTGATTGTAAGGGTTAAACAATGGGGACAGTTGAGATTTTGCTATGTAGAAATAGGGGTCCAAAGTTTATTCATGTAAACCACTAATTGGAAGGAAATTCCTTATTTAGAAATGGCCTTTGTCAGGTTAGTCATCCAGCTGCAGTTCTCCTCAGTGCTGAACACATGGTTTCCAAGGATCAAAGTCTTGAGAGCACTAGACCAGGAAATGGGAGAAGCAATGCAAGGAGAAGAGGGCATCAGGGCTTGGAATTTCTGAAATGAGCATTTACTTCACAGACGGCTTGGCACTATGAGGCTGGGGTGGGCATCATCTTAGTGATTGTTCTTGGTTGCCTCCTTTGCTGCAGCAATCAATGGAGTGAGGCTGGAGAGGGGCTTGGCAATCTTGAGGAACTGATGCTAGACGAGAAAAACAAAAGAGCAAAAAGCATAACTATCATTCTTCCTTAGCAACCATTATAAGACACAGGGACATTTGTGTTCATACCAGATGCTGCCTGAGATTTTCAGATCACCTTTAAAATCAAAGGATATCTCTTTATTCACCTTTAAAATCTTTTTTATTGTTATTATAAAGGTGATGTACAAAGGGGTTCCAGTTATGTAAGTCTGGTAAAGAGTACATTTCTTTTTGGACAATGTCACCCAAAGGATAGCTCCTTAACAAATCACTCTGGAAAACTGGCACTTATCTACAGGTAAATATTCATCTACCCTATACCCTAGTAATTCTAAGAGAAATAAATTTACAAAATCATCAAGACACATGCAAGAACATTCATAGAAACTTTACCATCACAGTAACTGAGAAGAACACAAAATGTTCTACTCTTCAAGGGATAGAAGAATGAATAGTGGGGCTGGGAATGTGGCTTAATGGTAGAATGCTTGCCTAGCATGCATGAAGCCCTGGGTTCCATTCCTCAGTACCACATAAACAGAAAAAGCCAGATGTGGCACTGTGACTCAAGTAGTAGAGTGACAGCCTTGAGCAAAAGAAGCTCTGGGACAATGCCCAGACCCCAAGTTCAAGTCCCAGGACTGGCAAAAGAAAAAAAAAAGAATGAATAGTGCTACTTTCATATAGTATTAGACAAAATTACACAGAAGATGAACAAATGATTGAACACTGACAACAAGCTGAATCCCACAGACATGTTGAGAAGATAAAATAGAGTTCAGATTATATTAACTATGGTGATAATCAGAATAATAAGATCTGGAAATCTGTTGCTTTTTTTTTTTTTTTTTGGCTGTGGGACTTGAACTCTGGGCCTGGGCGCTGTCCCTGAGCTCTTCAGCTCAAGGCAAATACTCTACCACTTGAGCTACAGTGTCACTTCTGGTTTTCTGGTGGTTAATTGGAGATAAGAGTCTCAGAGACTTTCCTGCCTAGGCTGGCTTTGAACCATGATCCTCAGATCTCAGCCTCCGGAGTAGCTAGGATTATAGGCATGAACCACCAGCACCTGGCTTCTGTTGCTTTTTAAAATATTATTATTATTATTTTTTTTTGGTCCAGTCATGGGGCCTGAACTCTGGGCCTGGGCACTGTCCCTCAGCTCTTCAGCTCAAGGCTAGCGCTCTACCACTTGAGCCACAGCACCACTTCTGACTTTTTTCTTTTTGCTTATGTGGTGCTGAGGAATGGAACCCAGGGCCTCAGGCATGCAAGGCAAGCGCTCTACCACTGAGCCACCTTCCCAGCCCCTTAAATATTATTTTTAAATAGGGTCTCATGTCCAGGCTGATCCTATACTCACTCCTGGGCTCAAGTGACGGCAACAGTAGGCACATGCTACTTACTGTGTGCCTCGTTTGGGATCTGTTATGCTATGCTGTAGTCCATTAAAGCCAATTAATCCACTGAAGGTATTTAAAGTTCTCTTCTTGCCCAAGTCATTTTCATGGGGTATCCTTTCAATGTGTGTGTGTGTGTGTGTGTGTGTGTGTGTGTGTTTGGTCCTTTGTGGGGCTTGAACTCAGGAGATAAATGGAGATAAGAATCTCATACACTTTACTGCACAGGCTGGCTTTGAACCATTATCTTCAGATCTTAGCCTCCTGAGTAGCTGGGATTATAGGTGTGGATCACTGGTGTCTGGATCCTTTTAACTTTTAAAAAATACCATTTAGGGGGCTGGGAAGGTGGCTCAGTGGTATCTGTTTGCCTTGTATGCATAAGTCCCTAGGTTCGATTCCTCAGCACCACATAAGCAGAAAAAGCCAGAAGTGGGGCTGAGGCTCAAAGTGGTAGAGCACTAGTCTACAGCTGAAGAGCTGAGGGACAGCGCCCAGGCACAGAGCTCACAAAAAAAAAAAAAAACATTTAGGAGAAAACATAGTATGAAAATTACATCTAAATTTTCAGTAAATGGGTTATGTAAAAATGTAAAAAAAACCTCTTTATGTAACTCAAAGCCTCATCACATTTAGTGCAAAAGCTTTGCATCATGAAGATGTAGGACATTTCCTCTATTTGATAAAGAAATACAGGAATATATAAGCTATAACACTTCATTTTCTGTATGACTACCAAGAAACTGAAAAGCAAATGCTATGTTTAAGCATAACTAGTTAACTCAAATAATTAGCATAACTGATGTGTAGAGACACACAAATAGAGATACACATACAAACATTCTCTGCTGAAAGCTGATTCACCTTCAGTTGGGACAGAGGTAAAGTATCAGAAGGTAATGAGACAAGAAGTTACTATGAAAGGAACAAAAGATCTTGGCTAAATCTTGAAGACAGAAATGGCAATATCTCATTCTTTGTATTTATGTCCATACATGTATTTTCACAGGAGAAACAGATATGAAAACTTCATGATTTAACATTTTGAAAGCTTTGGTTTTGAGTATTTACCATGTAGACAAGTTAAAAAGCCAAAGTTTTCAGATCATGTTTCTACAACTCTCTTCTGAGTTGGCACAGCAGTAATCCAGCCCCCAATTGTTTCTCTGAACAAAGTAAATTAGATAAGCCCCATAAATCTTCCAGTTCTGACACTTTTTGAATAAGCCTATAGAACAGGGCCAAAAGCATATATACTGAGAGCCAGATACACGTTGAAATACAAGATCCAACACTCTCTGTTATGTAATCTTGAAAAAATTTACTAACCTCAATTTCCTCACTATAAAAATGGGAACTACAAAATCTGTAATTCAGTGGATTGCTGTAAAGAATATGTATATTCATGCACACATGCGTGCACATACATACAAGTGCTAAATATTTAAAATGTGGTAAGCTATAACGTAATGATTAGTTACATTATTAAGAACTCCAGAGTCACTTATCTTTCAATAACTGCAATTTAGTTACCTTTCAATAACTATAATTTAGTAGGTAGTTAAGAATGATATCTTCACCAATCACAGGCTTAGCATACTCTTGGTACATTTCCCAATGACTAGTGTTTCTACAACACAACTCACATGAAAGGCAAAGGAGATTTTTATATTGGTCTGTTTTTTTTCAGTCTCAAAGGATCCTAGACACTAATGACCTATATTTGTAGAACCCTGATCCCCCATCTAATAGGTCAGTGTTCTATAATCAATAGCCTCAAATACAAAGAGCTATTTAAAATGCAGAAAAATACTTAAAGCAATTCAACTCAATTTTCTAAGTACCTAGTCGGAGTCAGATCCTGGGTCTGAGATAAAACAGAGATGAATAAAACAGAGGTTATAACCCAGCACAAAGACAGACATATTCATAACTAACACAGGGTAGTGTGCACCCACCCTGCCTGGCTCTGCTCAGTTACTCTTGGGCTTCATGATGCAAAAGTAAGTGAAAGGGCAGGCCTACAGATAAATCACTACCACAAAGCTGATTAATAGTAATACTTTGTACAAAATTACCAGTAGATAATTTTAACAAAATGACACTAGAAATAATTGTAATGAAACATGAATATTGAATGCAAATGATATGATCACCTTAAAGGCAGTTTCTGCAGCTATGTAAAACCATTCTGTAACTTCAGGATTAGGTGAGAGTTTTTAAATTTCTTTGTTAACCTCCCTCAAGGTTCTTTATAACCTTTACAAATGAGAATATCAATGCAAACATCTGAGGTTTCCAATGAAGTAACTGTGAACACTCCAAAGGCTGTACTAACTATCCCCTAAGCTTGCATTGCTTTGCTGAAAATGTCTGAAAATCTAATTTAACTCCTCAGACAGCTGCTTCTTGAGACTCAAACCGAGTCTGCCAGACTAATCAGGCAAAACAAAAGATGTCTTAAAGATACAGCCAAAGTTCAATAGGAGCTCAGGAAGTAAATTTTAAGCCAGCTCTAGGAGATAGGAAGTTTTACTTACTCATGCCATGCCAGGGATGGAATTCAAGGCCTTGTACATACTAGACCAGTGTTCTGTAGCCCTTGTGTTTTGGAGGCATACAATGTAGGCTGGCTTTGAATTCACGACTCTATTTTCATCTGCCTCCTAAGTGCTGAGGTTATACCTCAGGGCCTGGATGCTGTCGCTGAGATCTCTTTTCTTTTCTTTTCCTCCCTCCCTCCCTTCCTCCCTTCCTTCCGCCAGTCCTAGGGCTTGAACTCAGGATCTGGGCACTGTCCCTGAGCTTCTTTTGCTTAAAGCTATCACTCTGCCACTTGAGCCACAGCGCCTCTTCTGACTTTTTCTGTTTATGTGATACTGAGGAATTGAACCCAGAGCTTCATGCATGCCAGCAAGCACTCTACCACTAAGCCACATTCCCAGCCCTGAGCTTTTCTTGCTCAAGGCTAGTGCTCTATCACTTGGGCAACAGCTCTACTTTTGTGGGGTCTTCTGGTGCTTAACTAGAGTTAAGAGACTTTCCTGCCTGGGCTGGTTTTGAATGATGCTCCTCAAACTTCAGCCTTCTAAGTAACTATGATTATAGGCATGAGCCACCAGCAACCAGCTGATGTGTAGTTTTAATAAGCTGAAACAGCTAAGAGACTGTTGTGACAAAAAGGTCCAGGGATGAAGGTTAGAGAATTAGGAATATAGTGTGATCGTGAAGAGAGAAGGCTAAAAAAAGCTGAGTTAGTGATTACTTAGGTGCTTCCCTGACAATGGATAGTTACCTGCAGGAGCTCTTTAGCTGATCCTCTCTTTTCCACATCCATCTCCAGACAGCGGTTTAAAAAGTCCCGGAAGATTGCAGACAGCTTCTCTGGGTTCTGAAGTTCTGGGGTCCCATTGGTGGCAATGAGGTACAAGGCCTGGCAATATAAATGGAGAATCATGTTGAGGCTCAACTGGGGTTTCTCTTGATGATGCCCTCTAAAAAGATGGTCAGCTGCTGAATGCTTGAGAATATAAAGAGGCAACTGTGACATTCTGGAAAGAATATGATGTAAGGATCAGGTTTATCCTTTAAAAGCCATATAACTATGTGCTTGCCACCCAACTTTTAACTTCCTTATTTATAAAAATAGTACCTACGACCCGTGTCTATAAAAAATAAGAGTATATTTAGAAAGCATTTTGTAAAAAGCACTTATGAAATGTGTTACAGACCTAAACACTTACTACTTTTCTTGATTACAGACCTAAAAGGCTTGTTATTTATTTAGCCTGGTGAGTTCAACATCTGCCACATACTAACAGAAATGATTCTTGGTGCTGTCACCTCAGTCGTCAAAAAGGTGATCTCTATCTGTAGGAAAGGACTCTAAAAAGGAATGTTCAGTTCCCCATTGCCTTTCCAAACTCCTTTTCCACTTTTTTCTTGGGAAAGGTAAAGAAAAACATAGTAACGAGAAGCCTTTACAAGCTCTCAGCACTTTAATTCACAAGGTTTTTATAGAGCGTTTTCTCATTTAATGACCACAAGTCTAGGTAATAGGAAAGACTGACTATCACACATAAAACTATGCCTAGGACCACACTGTTGAGAGTACATGCATTCTGACTCTATCTTGAGCCCTGCTTTTTACTGAGATAGGAGCTTACTTCCTGCTCAGGTATATACCTGGATGACAGTACAGCTCTCTTAGGCTTCCCATCATAGCTGGGTGACAGGAATCCACCACAATGTCTAGTTCCCTCTGTTAAGCTGGAGTCTTACAGACTTGTATGCCTGGGCTGGCTTGGAAATGAGATTCTCTCAATTTCAGCCTTCTACATAACTTGACAAGACAGTGAGCCTACCAGTTAGCCCAAGTATGGGTTGAGAATACGTAAAATTTTCTATCCAGGCTAGTTTCAATTCTCTCTTTCTTAGCCCTTCCCAAGGAGCTAGGATTGCAAAATGAGCCACTGCTACCTGGCCTGACTCTCATCTCAGTCTCATTTCTACCACACTCCATTGGCCATCATCTTCAAATATGTGAGACCAGTTGGAGGCAGAGAAGGATGTGTTACATGTGCAGAGTCAGAGAACAAACCTGGGACCAAAGGATAAAACTGGGAAGTTTCAGTTTGGTACACTAATCCCTTTCCAAAAATCCGAGCTACCCAAGGGTGATAAGAACATGTAGCTAAAGCTAGATGTCTGCCTATCAGCAACAACCCACTTGGAATTCCTTCACTGGAAGGGGAGAAAGATTAGGTGAGAAAAACAAAAGCCATCAGAATAACTTTCACACCTGACCTCAAACAACATTACCAACCTATGTGCATCTTTGTTTATATTCTCTGCTTTCCTCTATTACAACAGATAGATTGACCATGCTTTCTCGACTGCCATTTACTTGTTTCCCCTCATCTAATTAAGGCCATTGCTCTTGCCATTGCCACTTCTTTCTTGTACATGATAATTTTCACCTCTCTACTAGATCCTTCCAAATTAGCACACAAAGTTATCTTTTAAGCTACCGCTTTCTAACTATACTTAATTTATAGCTTTATTTCTGTTATCTTCAGAGCAAAATTCCTTTAAGAGAAAAAAGAAATTTTAGGTATCATCTCAACTTGTACTCTCATAAATTTAATTAGGCTTTCATCCCTATCTACTGACAACTAATCTTCAAAGTCATCAATAAATTCCACATTGACAAGTCCAATGTTCATTTCTGTCTCATTATACACTGTCATATTTGACGCAGTGATTCATTTTCCTTAAAACATTGCTTTTTGGCATCCCAGACACAGATCTCTCAGTTTCTTTTGCTATGTAGGAACTTTCTCTCTTTTTTGGTGCTCAGTACTCTACCCCATCTGAGCCACAACTCTACTTCCAGCTTGTGTGTGTGTGTGTGTGTGTGTGTAAATAAGAGTTTCATTTTGTGTGTGTGTGTGTCTAACTGGAGATAAGAGTTTCATAGACTTTCCTACACAGGATGGCTGTAAACTGTGATCTTCAGCTCTCAGCCTCCTGCATAACTAGGATTACAGATGTGAGCCACTGATGCCCAGCAGGAACTTTATTTGATGTGAGCTCACTTATCAATTCTTGCTCTTATATGTTGAGCTTTTGGGAATCCTATTCAGAAAGCTACTGCCTATGCCTAGTCTTCTACTGTTTTCCTGTAGAAGTTTCAGTTTCAGGTCTTACATTATCAGAATGTCTTGAATGTGATAGGAGTCAATCACTGAATAAGTTACATATTTTGGGAAAGAGTATGCTGAAGTCTTGCACCATACTAAGCAGACAATCTAATACTGAACTACATCTCTAGTCCTAATATTGATATTGTTAAGTTCAATAGTGCCAAAGTTTTTTTTGGTGTGTGTGTGTGTGTGTGTGTGTGTGTTTACTGGTTGTTTGTTTTAGCTTTTTTTTTTTTTCAGATGGGATCTTGCCTGGGGTAGCCTCAAACTCATGATCTTGCGGACTCAATCTCACTATTACTGGGATTACAGGTGTGCACTAGCACACACATCAGGAGTGCCTACTTATATCCAGAAAAGAGATGTCCATATGGAAAGCCTGATAGAGTAGCCTGAATCCCATTTTCTAGGACCAGAGACTTGAAATAAGATAGGTAACACTCACTCTCAGAGGGTTTTCATTGAGGTATGGGGGCTCCCCTTCAATCATTTCAATAGCCATGATGCCCAGGGACCAGATGTCAACCTTGGGTCCATAGGCCTTCCGCGTTACAACCTCAGGTGCCATCCAATATGGAGTTCCCACCATGGTGCTCCTTTTGCTCTGTTCTGGAGTTATCTGTGCACAGAATCCAAAATCGGCTAAAAAGTGGGGAGAGAAAAAAAGGGATAAAACATTTAGGATACTCCTTATGCAAGTACTGACTGTATGCCTGCCCATGCTTCAAACTCTCTTGGCCTCCCAGCTCTGTGATCCTTTGTCTCACTAAATAGGAGTCACTTGATCACCACCTTTGTTTATCAGCTCCTAGGCTATTCCCTGTTCACCCTGAAAAGGAGTAAGGAAGAAGATAAGGAACACCAGCTCTAGCTTCCTACCTTCTCAAACTAGAAGGTTCAGGAATTGAAGTCCAAATAACCCATTTCAGCCATGACTACTTGACCTAATTCTGTGTTACTCTTGAAAAACCTTTCTATACCCTAGAATCTGGCAGTTAATTCCTTATGTGGACAGACACAAGTCCCTGAATTAAATCACCTACAAATGGTATGGGGCTGCTTTGATCAGTTCCTCATTCTATACCTCAGACTAAAGGCTACTAACAGGGTCCCCGCAGAAACTGCCCTTTCACCTGTGACACTGCCTGCTTGTCTAGGCAACTGGTCTTTACACCTTTGTTTTTGGGGGGGCCAGTCCTGGGTCTTCAACTCAGGGCCTTGGCAATGTCCCTGAACTTCCTTTGCTCAAGGCTAGCAATCTACCACTTGAGCCACAGCACCACTTTTGGCTTTTTCTGTTCAGGTGGTACTAAGGAATCAAACCCAGGGGTTCATGCATGCTAGGCAAGCACTCTACCACTAAGCCACATTCCCAGCCCAATAGTCTTTACACCTTTGAACAAGAGGTTCTATCTGCAGTTCTTTTCACATTATATTGAAATTATAGATTTACTTAAATCAGGATGCCCTTGATAACAAAGGCTATGGTTTCTTACTCATTTTGTACCTCCAAAGGGACTAGTATGTAACAAGCATTCAGTAAATATTTGTTGAAGAAATAACTCAGTGAATAAATATGCATAAAACTGTACAAGTATGACTGAAAATTCTTTGAAGGTTGGAAAAATGTACCTTCATTGCCCAGCACAGCATATAGAAGAATAGGTATTCAACAATTTTTTTTTTTTTTGCTCAACATTGAAAAGCATGGGAAACACTGTAAGAAAAATACACTACATGATGCTGAGGAATACAGACCTCTCTAGAGAGTCCACTGAAATAACAGTCTCTTTGGTGAGTGTTGCAGTGACTGTTAAATGACTAACTATAATCCCACATGAGACAAGTGTCTACAATGAGAGAAATATTATCATTCTCTTTTCAAATTTTTAATTTATTCTTTGTGCCAGTCCTAGGACTTGAACTCAGGTCCTAGGCACCATCCCAGAGTTTTTTTGCTCAAGACTAGCATTTAACAACTTGAGCCACAGCTCCACTTCTGGCTTTTTGCTGCTTAATTGGAGATAAGAGATTCACAGGAATTTTCTGTCTGTGGTTTCAAACTGTGATCCCCAGATCTCAGCCTCTGAGCAGCTAATCTTATAGGCATGAGCCACTAGTACTTGGTTCTTGATTTGTACTTTTTATTACCCTTAACTAGTGGTACAAAGGGTTTTCAATTCAACATGTCAGTTTGCAAGTACCTTGCATCTTTATCAATGTCATCCCTTTCATCATTATCCCCATCATTCTTAAGACTTACTTAACTTGACAGAACCATCCATTCCCAACAGAATATTGTCGCTCTTGATGTCTCTGTGAATGACCTGGTTTGAATGTAGGAACTCTAGGGCCTGCAGACACTGATGAAGCAGTATAGGCACAGGGAGAAAAAAAAGGACATATAAAACAAGATTTAACAGAAAAGCAACTAATCCAAAGAACTGGCTTTAAGATAAAGGAATACAAGACTTACTTGAATAAAAAAAACTTGCTCCACATTACAAGCAGAGTGAGATCTAGAACCAAGACTTCTATCTCCTAGCTAAGTATCTTTTAACATTCCTTGCTACCTTTCATCTTTTAAGTTTTCTTTAAGCAAAGATGTTCTTTCAACATATTTTCATGTTTGTGCAAGTAGACATATGCAAGAAAGAGTAAAGCAATGAAGCTAACCATGATGACAGAAATTATAAAATACAGGGAATTATGGTAGCTCCAGCACTGATTTTTGTCACTACCACAAAGCCCAGGCTAAAGTCTCACCTGATGCACATCTTGTGATTAAGAATACAGAGGCCACTTTCTACTCAAGGCTGTCTCTATATCTTCCCTTCCATTTCTAGAAGAGGATGCTTTCATCCTCCTTTGAGAAGTCATGAAGTAAGACCTCAAGAACTCTTAAAACAGCCCATGTACTAGACACATATTACCAAGACAAAGAGGCTTGTTACAGTTTGCCATTTAATCAAAATGATGAGGCTTTTACAGTATAACTTAAGCAAAAGTTATTAGGAAAGCATTAGGAAAAAGTTACCTTTGCTATGTCCCTGTATAACATGTGTGGGTACTTATGAAACTAAATTAAGACCTATCCTATCTCCATATAAGAAACTACACTGGCATCTAAGAAAAGGCCTTTCTCCTTACCTCACGGCACACAGCAGCAATCTGGCCTTCATCCATACAGGTTTCTGTCACCACATCTGTCAAGGAGCCTCCAGCCAAGTATTCCATGACAACCCATAGCTCATCTCCTACAAGGTAACTGCAGGAGAACAGATAACAGATAAAAATAGTCAGAGGACAAGGAGCCACTGCACTCAGTTTCAAAGGCTAAGGAATATGCATACAGAGTAAAACCAAAGCTTGATCAGCTGTAGAATCTAGGTTCCTTTATTCTGGGGAAAAGCAAATCTAGGGGAAAGAAACACTAACTTCAAATCATTTAAGCATACTCCTGGAAAAGGTGTATATTTTTTGTGAAACCTCAAAGGGCAGAACTAAGAACACTATATAGGATATGGTGATGAAATATAATAAAATCATTTTTCATCACAACACAGAGGTAACTTAACCATCCACCCACCCATCATCCACCCATGCTCCTAAAATTAGAAGGACTAGAATGATTCCCACATCTCTAGAAGCATCTAAGCAGTATAAAAACATTTGAAAAAGCTGAAATTCAGAGTCTATGTAACCAATATTAGAGAGAACTATTAAACCTCCCTGACAGTTCTACTAGATCTGAGATCAAGGATCTTGTTTCAGAATCTTTCTGCAGGCCAGTTGTGGCAGTACCCATCTGCACACTATATTAATATACATTGTATTCATAAATTGACATGCTGAATTGAAACCCCTTTATAAACTCTTTAAAGAATGGACACAGAGAGAGAGAGATATCTTTAGGTTGCCTGTCATCAGTAGCTCACTCCTGTAATCCTGTAAGACCAAGTATAAAAGTCTATGAGATTCCATCACCAATTAACCAAAAGTGTCTCTAATTAACACCACCATCACCACCACTACCACCAACAGGACAGGCTAAGTTTTTCTTCAACTAACTCTTTTGAGAGAAGACCATGGCAGCCTGGTCTGCTATGGTCTAATTGTCTATGGCCCCACAAAGTCACACACTAAAAACTGAACCTTAATCTATTTATAAGACAAGTCATACCTTATTGACAGTTGCTATGGTTTGAATATGGTCTATTCCCAAGAATTCATGCAAGATTTTAATCACCAAA